ACAACACTATGTCCCTATTGTAATTGGATTTTTAACTTTTCTTCTTATCAACAGGTTGGGGCTGCTCTGAGGCCAGCTTTTTCCCAAGATACACCATCTGATATAACTGCAAAGGCCTGTCAGGTACAGTGGAAAATGTTCACATCCTATAAGCAAAACTAATTTTCCTTCGCTTTGGAAGAAGGATGCAAAAGAGAAATAGCATCAAATGGCTGGAAGGTCTTGTAAACTTTAGCTGTCATGTTTTTGCAACACCTTTTGAGTTTCCTAGTAATATACTTTGTTCCTCAGATGTGCAGAAGTCCTTTCAGGGAGCTACATCAAAAAATGTATCTGGAACTAACTATGTCTTCATATGAATCCTGCAAGAAAGCAAAGGAAAAAAACCCCTTTGCTTAATGAGACAGTACAAGTTTATTTATTGTCTTTCAGTCTGATCAGATGTTTGGATTACTGACAATTTACCTTTAAATACTAAACTTCTGTTCAGTTTAGTGTTCTGTTTTACAATTTAGAAGATCTGAGCATTCTCATTACAGTCATAGTAACAACTTGTCAGTGAGTTTGCTAAAAGATTTTTTTTTCTGAATGTGTGTGGGATTGTTTTCCTGCACGTGATGTTGTGTACTGCCATTTAAATCAACTATCAGCAACACAGCTGTAGTAGTATGTGGTTTTCACAGCTAAAGAAACTACTGTTTAAAGCAGCAGTTTTGTTAGCTATGCAAACATTAGTTTTAAAAATAACTCTGTGTTTCTGAGTTCTGTTTAGTAAATTTGGGTCATCAGGAGTGTGATTTTGTTTTTTTCTTTTACGCTTTTAATTTTCAGCAAAACTTGCAAGGATTGCTCAATTACAGCGTAACTTGGTATCTATGTGTAGGAAAAAATATCTTCATCCTGATTTACAGAATGTTTCTGCAGGTTGAAATGAAGAAGCAGTTTGTGTGAAACCATTTAATATTCCTTATAACTTGTCAAAATCTTCTCTGTTCAACCCATTTCAAAGCAGATGTGTTCACTTACAGGATCAAATGGTTGGAGATTAGGTTTGGATATTTAACTCCCTCTTGAAGTTACATGGACAGAGATGAGCTTTCCTGAAGGAGTTGGATGTTGTTATAGTTTTATGTCATTAGTGAAACAGATGTTGACTTGCTCAGCTGCAGGATTGAAGCTGATCTTATTCCTACTGTGAATGAAGAACAGTTTTGTGAGAAGTTTTCAACAGCTTTGTTCTGTACCTGTTTGAGACACTTCTAGTGTTTGTGTTTAAGTTGTTTTTTTTTAAATATGTCCATCATTCCAGGTCATGAGAGAGTTCCTTCCCCAAAGGATTTCATGGAACTGCTTCTTTAAAAGCAAAGTAAAAAAATTTGAGATAGGTCAAAAATGGTTTGTAAAAAAGTTTGTAAAACCTGAACTGCTTGAGTTCTGTGAGTTTTTTTGCTTCTGATCCTCATCCTTGTAGAATAATCTCCAGAGTAAGAGCAACTCTTCTGAAAGAATTTATCCCTTTTTCTCTGTGTAGAAAAGCAGCTGCACAAGCTGCTTCTATTGCCTGCATTATGTCTGGCATGAATGTCTTTCAGAGGATGAATGCCAGTGTATAACATTAGTCAGGAGCAGCCAGTCTGTGTGATGTTTGTTATTTTAAGTACCTCTTTGGATCCATTTAACTCAAATGAAAAGTTGAGAGACACCCAAATGTCTGTCCACAGATTGTTCTAGGTATAGAACTGTGGGTTCCAAATCATAGCTCAGTCTTTCAAATAATTTCTAGGTGTTTTCTTGACATAAATAATTTGAAAACTTCCCACTAGTATGGAGCCTTACATATTGATTTGAGATGTTGAGGGGTTTTAAGGTATACTGTTGTTGATTACTGCCCAGTATATTCTGCACAGAGAATGCAGTGACTCATTACCTGAATGATTTAACCAGACACTTGGGAACAGAATAAAAAGAATAATTATAACCTATTTATGGAGAATTGAAAAAATTTTAAAGTATTTTCCATGTCTCTTAAGTTCTCTTCTAATATGCATTGCAAATATAGCCCTTGTAACCACTCACCTGAGCAATTCTGTTGTCATGGCTGGGGAGAAAAAAAGAAAGGAAAACCTGATTTATTTGTCTTAAGCAGGATGACAATGACTAAGTTTTCCTGGTGCTTGTTTTTGGTTTGATTTTCTTACTAATTTATTTTTTTTTTCATTTTTAAGGTTGTTGGGTTGTTTTGCTGCTTTAGAGTGATTCTAAACTTTGTTGTCTAGGTATGTAGCGCTTGGATAGGAAGTGGGGTTGTAAGTGACCTGAATGATCTCCGCCGAGTTCACAACCTTCTTGTCTCTTCCCTGGATAAAGTGCAAGCAGGAAAGGGATCTTCTAGCCAGCTTTACCGAGAGAGTGCAACTACTATGGAAAAACTGGCTGTTCTCAAAGCATGGGCTGAGGTAAGCCATGACCATCAAATCTGCCAAAGTTTGGAAACATTTTACAGTGTAATAGCAGCCTCATACCTCATACTGCCTGTACATGCCTTCCTCCTAACTTTTTTCAATTCTACTATGGGATGTTTTAAACTCAGTATCTTTCTCTGCCCTTCTGTTGAGCCATATTTACATTGAGGCTTGGTTGTTCTTTGTTGTGTTGCATTTTTCTGGGTAAAAATATGCACTCGCACCATATCAGATTTTGGATTTCTTCCCATCTTACTGCTCTTAAAATTGAAAAAAAAAACCCCACAAACAAGAAAACAAAGAACTGTAAAAATCAAACAACCTTAAAATATATTTTGGGAGAATATTGCAGTTGGTTAACCAGGCAACCAGCTAGTTAGTTAACACTGTCAAGTGTTTATAATTTACACATTTTTAGAAAGAAAGTGTGTGGCCAGATTGTTTTAGGAAAGTCCCATTTATGAACCTAAGCATTATATATATACTGGTAGAAATAAAAGAAAGGATTTAAATAAAATGGAGTTTTATTGAAAAATCTCTTTTTTCCAGTAATTTTCTGATGAATTTTATCTGTGTGGAATCTGTTACATTCACATGGGAAAGACTGCTGCTTTCCTTTCTTTTTAGAATCTCACAGCATGTACTTTGACATGTTTTACTTCTAGGTGTATGTCGTTGCCATGAAAATTAAGAAAGAAGCAGAAACCAAACCCAAGCGTGTTTCAAAGAGCGCAGAGGAGGATGAGGATGATTTTGGTACTGTGAATGAGTTGCCACCAGACAGTTTGATAACGCTTGTACAGCCTGAACTGCCGGCACTGAGCCGGCTCTGGTTGGCTGCGCTCAAAGATTACGCTCTTTTAACTCTACCAGCTGAGTTTGCTACCCAGCTTCCACCAGATGGTATGCACTGGAATTTCTTGTTGTGTTCTGCAAAACAGAAAGAAACTGTAGCTGGACATTCAGAATTATTCTGTAAATTAATTAGTATGCATGTTTTTTATGCAAGTGATAAATTCCTACCTGGGCATGTAATAGCAGTATTTTCTAACTTTGAATCTTCTTCCCTTCTTTCCTTCTTTCCTTCAATTTGAAATGAATATACTCTTTATTCAAATCATTGAGATCATTGAAACTTTGTGGAAGAAGGAGTACTTCTTCACCTCTAATACTTTGGTATCAAGTGCAAAAAGATTTTGGTTGTATGAAAAACATGGTCCCTGAGATTAGAGTAGACATTGTTTTACAGATAAAGAGTGAATGCTCTATATGAAAAATGCTGCATGATCTGATGACTGTGCCTGCCTTTCTTGCTCTCTTCTTACTCTCTTCTTACTGCTTTATTGAGGCCAGTGCACTTTGTCATGAGAGGTACTAATTAATATTGCTACTAGAGAAGGAGAGTTGGAATGTACTGCCACTAACAAGCATTATACCTGATTATGTTTGTGATCAAGCACACCCAGAATAAATATACTAACAAATTTTGAGTGCATGCTTTTTATCTGTTACTTGCAGAGAATCTTAGAATTTACCTTTGCTTTGTTAATTTAACAGGAGGAGCATTTTACACTCCGGAGACAATCGACACAGCTAGACTGCATTACCGGAACTCCTGGGCTCCCATACTACATGCAGTGGCACTTTGGCTGAACAGTACAGGATTTAACGTGTCAGAGTCAACAGAAGAGACTGCTGCAGCAATGCCCAGTTCCCAGAAACGTGCTACATCCATTATGCTAAACCAGACACCTGGGACTCCACCTACCACTAAATCTTTACCAGAAATAAACAAAGATCGAATGCATTTAATTTTGGGTAAGAGTTACAAGTTTAGAATTCAGTAGCAGCATGTTATGGTATGAAACACTATGAAAATGAGAAAAGATACTTTGCTTGAAATCTGTGAAGTTTAAAATTCATTACATGTCTGGACAGTAAAGTTTTGAAAATCTCTGTCTCATCCTCCCTCTTATCTCTCTGCCTTCTGTGTTCTTTGTAGCTTTGACTATAAATATTTGTCAGTGTGATTATTGTGATTTATGTAATTGACTAAAATGAGTAGGAACTGTTCTACACTGTAGTATAATGCAGGTGATACAAAATGTTGTGCTTCAAAGATGCAAAAGCTGTGAAGTTAATTAAAATACACACCCCTATAAAACACTGCTCAGTTGAGAGTGATATTTAGCAAGTCACATGGAGTAGCTTTTGCATCAGTTTTTCATCTGTGAGTAGCATTCACTGTTTCCCTTTGTTGTTACCTAACAGCTTTAAGAGGTGGACGTAATCTCTTATTCTGAGGAATTGCAGAAGTTTGCTGACATACAGACATTTAAATCTGGAATTAAATGCAATATGTAGATGAATATTGCATGATTTTTGGAGCTTAACTTCATTTTGTTTGTCTTTACATTTAAAGGAGTTCAAGAAAATTAAACTCAATTTACAACTGAAGGATTCATATCTCTGACTTACAGATCTTTAGAACAAAGTATGAATTTCTGTTCAGTAATCTTAAATTGCTTGTTGTCACTGTGCATTATTTATCCTATAATTTATTATTTATTATTTAGCCAAATTTTGGGGAAGACGTGGTGCAGAAGAAGAAGTGAATACAAGTCTTCTGCATAGACTCTCTTTTAATTGAAAGGACGAATTGAGAAAAACAGCTGTCTTTCTAAAGTTTTTAAGGACCCGCTATACTTACAAAAAAATTCAAACGAAAACTAGATTTTATGATGGTATGAACATTCTTTTTTAACTATTGCTCTTTTCAGGTGTTAGTATACAGTTTCTGTGTTCCCCAAGACCTGAAGAGCCTGTAGAGCATGTTACATCTTGCTTACAAGCACTGCATACTTTATTGGACTCCCCTTGTGCCAGGATCCATATTGCAGAGGATCAGGTAATGTATGAGCATGTTGTAACAATCAGCATTTTCCAGGTCTTGGACTTTCATCAATGATGATTACAAGAGCTGTAATTATTTTTTGTGTGAGAAAAGTATTTGTTCATCATAAGCAAGTGACATAACAATTAAGAATTGTTTAGCCCTAATGAATGTTTTTCTATGTATTTTGTTTCACTGCAGCTCCTTGGTGTTGAACTCTTGAGTGTGCTTCACCGACTCCTCCTGACCTGGGATCCTCCTTCAGTCCAGCTGCTGGTTACAGGAGTTGTCCAGCAGATAGTAAGAGCAGCTCAAGATTATTTGCAGGAAAAAAGGAACACGCTAAGTAAGATTCTGTAAACATGGCTTGCTTTGCAGAGTAAATAAGCAACAGGTTTTCATGTTGGGAAAGGAACTCAGTTGCATTAGAGTATTGTTACACTGAGGAGGAAAATGCTGTGTATTCTAGAGATAATTTTGATTGTGTTCATAATTACCTGCTGACTTCTTAACTCTTGTAATCTGTATTTTTTCTTCCTCTGATCATTCTCATTTCATGTCATGATTTTCATTAATTTTTCTGGAGTAAGAGTGGTGCAAGGTATATGCAGCGCACCCCTTATTAATACCTTGTTCAGTTTCCTTTATGTTTCTCTACTGACTGTTTCCTTAGCACTTCATTTACCTTTTTTCTGAAGTTTAATGATTTAGCTAGCAGTACAGGGTATTGTGATGTGTCCCTGGCACAACTGACATCCATGAGGTGAGTGAACTGCTCCTGAAACCAGTATGGAAAGTTGCCTGTCCAGGAGATCTTGCCAGGAAATGGAGCAGACTTGCACCTGGGTTCTTACTTCACTTATTGAGGGCACTCAGGGCGTGTCAGCTACCAGGATCTTTGGGAACAGGGTGTGCAACAGGAGCAAGGCAGTTGGCATGGAAAGGTATGCTCGCTGCCCAGAGGTGCTGCTCAAGACTGTACAGGACTGCTGGAGTCAGCATAATGGTGGCAGTGACATACAACAACAGTCTGCTGACTGAGGGACAATCACCTCTGCTGCATCAGAGGTCTAATGACCAGTTTGAAATTCAGGTGAAAATGCTGATGTGCCTGTACTCCAGAGGCTTGTCTGTGCAGCCATAGCTGGAAGTGACATTGGTCTCACCTGTGAGACATGAAGGAAATGCTTGTGAAGGTGAGCAGACTCTGTGGTGTCAGGAAAGGTAAATGGAGGAATGAAATGTTTTTCGGCGGTCCTGCAGGTGCAAGAGCTCAAGTCCCATGTTTCTCAGGAGAGACAGCCATAGACTATGCTGGAATATGGCCCTGGAGGATGATGCTTGCATGAAGGTGGTGGCTGCAGTACTGTGACTTCCAGGAACAAAAGGCTCTATCTCCAGATATCCTGTTGGAGAACACTGAGGAGATCTGGCAAGAGGAAAGGAGCCAGCTGTCCTACTTTGACAGATGAGAACTGATAACACTGAAAGGAAGTGAAGAGTGATACCAGTCAGGGGCCACAGGTTGCCTAATCAAGGAGGGAAGGTAAATGAAGCCATGTTAAACCAGCCCAAAGAAGCATTCCAGTCAAGCTATGGGAGTCTCATGAAAGGCTTTTACCATCCAGCCGTGTGCTGGAAGGGTGACACTGCTGGTAACACTCAGAAGTGTATGAAGCACAGAATTCTTCAGTCCAGATGCTGGACAGTCCAGATGAGGGTGGGGCTGCATGGATTTGCTCTGCACTTATACAGAAGAAACGGTTACAAAGGTTAATGGTAGTTCTGGCTGTACCAGCTATGTGATAGTGGAGGTCGTAATTTCAAGGGAAAGAAAGAAAATGAGTAGCAGAGCAAAAGCTTTGGCTTGACTTGGCAGACTTTGGCTTGTTCAGGGAGCTTGTAGATGAGATCTTGTGGTAAGCTCTCCTGAAGGGCAAAGGAAAGCAGGATTGTTCATCTTTGGTGACAAAATAAAGCTCATTCACAATTATCATGGCAGGAGGCTGACTTGGCTGAACAGGAACTTCTGACTGAGCTCAAATGTGGCATGGAAGTGCTTGGATGTTGGAAATGGGGGCAAGCTGTCAAGGAAGACTACTGAAGTTCCTGGGTATGGAGGAGTGGAATTGGGAAATTTAGGTGGAGCTGAGACGGATGATGAACGTCCAGTGTAACAAGAACAACTTTTATAGATACATTGTCAGCAAAGGAAATTTGGACCTGCTGCTGAATGGAGTGGGTGATCTAATGACAAAACACACTAGAGCAAAAACTAAGGCACTGTTATCTTCTTGCTTACCCCTCCTGTGTCTGTGTCTAATGAGCAAGCCTAGGGAGAGCAGTGCTAGCTTCAGCAGGTGAGCTTCCAGTTAGGGACTGCTCACAACAAAGCCAGCCCTACCCTGGAACCAGATGTGATGCATCTCAGGGATGGCTGATGACATGCTAAGTTTGTTGCAGTCATCTTTGTAAAGCTGTGGTGCTCAAGGAAGCTTTTCAATGAATGGCAAAAATGAAATGCGGTGACTAACTTTGAGTAAGACATGAGGTGGGGTTTGAGTGAAGTTGCCAGTAAGCCTGCTGTGCTTGTTGAAAGGTTTTTGAGTAAATTTCTTTTGAAACCACTTCTTAGTACATGAAGTAGAAGAATGTGATTTGAAATAGCACAGACTTACTGAGGGCAATTAATGCCTCATCACCCTCTGTGATGAAATAACTGCCTTTGGAGGTGGAGTGGTGAATACTGTTTACTCAGACTTCTGCAAGGCTTTTGACCCAGTACTCTACAATATCATTGTCAAGTTGAGTGATGTGGACTGAAAAGTAGGAGAATAATTTGTTGGACTGCTGTGCTTGAATGGAGTTCAGTGATTCAAGTCTAACTGGAAGCTGGTTGCAACTGGTGTTCTTTAGAGATCAGTAGAGGATCTGCTACTGTTAAGCACACAGGGCAGACAGGAGAGAATGTACCCTCAGCATATCTGTGGATGATACCAAACTGGGCAGGTGGTGGGTGTGCAGGAGGGTGGTGCTGCCTTTAAGGGGAATTTTGAACTGCAGGTCTGAGAACCTGCTTAAGTTCAGCAAAGATAAATGCAAAATCCTGCATTTGGTACGGAATGTGCATTGGTGTAGGCTGGTGGGCTGACAGATTGGATAGCAGATTTGCCAGAGGAGGAGTTGTGTGTGTGAATCTCTGGTGTGAAACCTATACAATGCAGACCTATGCAACCTCTGTTATTGGGCTGTCTTAGAAAAGACTGGCATGTATCACATGCCAGACACAGCAGTGCATCACATGCCAGTGTCTAGTTTTCTTTGCCCTTCCTCCTCATTCTGAGTAAGACAGCTGTTGGCAAACATGAAGGAAGTTCAGTGGAAGTCCACTAAGCTGCTTAGGGAGGTGAAGTGTGTGACCTGTGAGGAGAGGCTGAGAGAGCTGAACTTACTTAGTCTGCAGAAGAGAGGGTTAATATGGGATAGAATAGCAAACCCCCTTCTTAGAGGGGATTTAAAGACAAGGCCAATCCATGTCTTCTGCAAGGCATGTGGTGGAAGGACAAGAAGCAATGCACATAAACTACAGCAGTGGAAATCCAGATGGGATACAAGGGAAAGATTAGTCACTGTGGGAGTGGTGAAGCAGAAGAGCAGGTGCCCAGGGATGTGATGTCTCTATGCTTGGAGATCCTCAGCACTCTGAAAGCTACTTTCTGAGGTACTTTTTGTGACCTCTTCCTTTTAAGAGAGAGTCTCCCTGTTCAATCATTCCTTTACCATTTTTAAAAAAATCTCAGATACACTGTTTCCATCTGTGCTAGGTAAATTACTTTCCAGGAGGCAACCTGGGAAATAGTTCATTGATACCTGGTTAAATTGGGTAGGTCTGCCAGATTTTCTGTTACCTGAAAGAAGTGAAGTAAACCCCAGAGAATATTCTCTTATTAAGGAAAATTACTGTCTTAATCTGGCACAATGTACTGTTGATAGAAAAACCCCCAACTGATAGCTTTTGCCCATTTTCCATGTAAAAAGAGGGAAAAAATTTTGCTGGAACTTGAGGAACCATCATGAACAACTGAAAATGCAGGCTCTGTTCCTTCATATGAATTAATGGAATTGTTTACTGTCAGCCCAGTAAGCTGCTTTTTTCAGATTGATGAATGTGATAACAGTAGCAATCATTTAAATTCATAGGAGCTCTATAGGGGTAGTTCAGGCCAGCTTTGCCTTGCTGAATCTCTGTTGCTGTTTAATGGGAGAAGGAAGGACTGCAGCTGGCCAAGCTGCCATCAAAAGAGAGACTTTTTGAACTGAGTACACTCAGCTAGACTTAGACATAGAATCCTACAGTGCTTTTCTGTTCTCTTATTTCATAATCAATTTAGGCTAGAATAAGATTTTGTCAGAGTGGAACATTTAATTAATAGCTATTAAATTTACAAAAAAAAATGTCCTGGCTGTTTATTTGTCATTGGTTGCTGTTAATTTTATTATCATTTTTAAGAGAAGCAAGATAATTAGCTGTAGTTTTATTTTGTGCAAGACTACATTTGTTTTCTAGTTCCAGAAAACAAATTGTTGCAATCACAGTACTTCTATGGCATTTTAAACCCCTTTAAGTCATTCTAACAAAAACATTTAGGCTGACATGAGCCATGTTTGTCCTATCTTACTGTAAAGCAACTTTTTCTTCTTGATTCTTAACTTCTTTGTGAAGCGTGTGCCGTGTAATTTTTGGAGTGGCATCTTAACTGTCTCCTCAGACATTTCTTTCCTTTTTCAGATGAAGATGATAATGAAGAAAAAGAAAATCCTCTTGCTTTAGGAGAGGGAGGTGAGAGTGGTGGTCTTGTGCCTGGAAAATCTCTAGTTTTTGCAGCCATGGAATTGCTGATGTTCATCCTAGTACGACACATGCCCCACCTGAGTTCAAAAGTGTCGGATTCTCCGAGTCACGTTGCTGCCAAATCCCACCTCTCTGAGGAAAGCGCTCGTCTTGTGGCTGCCACCGTTAATATTCTGTCTGACCTGCCTTCCCTGTGTTCTCCAGCAGGTAGGACACTGTCACAGGATATGTGTGAGCACAGCGAGGCTATGATGCTAAAAACAAACTGTAAATACATCGCTATGAATGCTATAATTCATAGCATTAATATTTAGGTAATTAACTAAATGAAAATTCAGGCTTTTCCAGTGAACAGCATAAAGGAAATTTGACTTTAAGTTTGCAAGCATGCTGCAGGTTTGCTGAGGAAATTAGATCTGTGGACAAAGGCTGTAGGAGTTTCAATAACACACTTAGATTTTAAGCCCCTGTACCAATCTGATTTCATTCTTGGTTTTTTTTTCCCCTTTTTTTCATGCTTTTGAAACCTTTCAGGCAATTTTTAATCATATTGTTAAAGAACACAGACATTTTGGAGATAATTAAATTCCTGAGAAGTTCATGAAAAGCAGGAGCTGTAAGAAAAGACAATCCTACAGAGGGAAAAACAGCTCAATTCATCTGTGGTCACACTTGGCCTTGCAGCCGTTGGCTGTCAGTCATTCCCAATGTGATTATAAACTAAATGGAACTTTCTTCTGCCCAGGAAGACAAAGGATGTGTGTGAGCTGGGATAATTGCAGCTGAGTGAAGTTCATGGGTAAAGGATACAATTACATGGGAAGCTGCGCTCTTTGACTTTTGCTTTTTGGAGAGCAAATTGCTTGACTGTTGTCTCAAGAATCTTTGGGAAGTTTCACCCACTCTTACAGATGAGACATTTTAAAGTTAGTTCCCTAGTGAGGTGCACTGCAAATAACATATTTGGACAAAGTTATGCTCAAAAGACAATACCGCTTGTCTCAAACAGAAATTTGTGAATTTGGGCCTTGCACTTTTTTAAGGAACAACAGATTTTAAGTTGGAGTCATGTCCTGTTTTTATGTAATACCCGATTTTTTTTTTTTTTTTTTTGAGGAGGTGATGGGAAAGAGGGTGGGCAAAAAGAGTAACTGTAGTTACATCTGTGTTGTCTGAAGTAGTCTGGAGGGTGTTACTCCCAGCATTTGGCAAGTGGCCACTGCAAGTAGCTCAGAAATGACTGTTAGTTTAAAGAGCAGTCCCTTCCTGTCATAATTGTTTTACTTCATGTGTTTATCCTCACAGCATTCCCAGAAGTAGGAAAATGGCAGGATTTGTGTTTCCACAGATGTGGAAAAACGAAGCATAGAAGAGATATAGAAAGAGGCTTGACTGTCTGAAATGATCTGTATGTTGATTTTGCATGTCTAAACCCAACAGCACTCTTCTTTCAGTCCTGTAGGGGCTTAAAGTCTGTCTGTGTGTGTTATTGAAACTGCTACAGCCTTTGTCCATCATCTGAGACACCCAAACAGCTTCCTTTCTTTGCTTCTGGTAAGGTGAGGCACACCACCTTACTCAGAAAGTGCAGTAACTTAGTTTGGATACTTGTTTCCAGACCTCTTATTTTTGCTGTTTATAAGACCCTGGTGATGTGTAGATCCTTCTCTAAGGTACTTAGCAACCTGGATGACATACCTTGTATCACATGCCATGTGGGACAAAGCTTTAATAGCTAAATGATCACTCCTGAACTGACAGCAGCATTTCAATTGTTGGCTTGTATGACTTGTGTTATGATACATTTCAGTAGCACTGATGAAAGAATTTGGTGATGAAATGGTGAATGACACATGTCACTCGTTACGTGAATTGCACTTTATCTCATCTCCTTTGTCTCCAACCAAACGCATCCATATTGAGGAAGACAAAGAGCTTATCTACCACACTTGAAAAATTCTATTTTATATTTTATCTTTTTTTTTCTTTTTTTTTAGGGTGTATGACCATCTTACCCACTATCCTATTTCTGATAACACGGGTATTGAAAGAAACAGCAGTAAAGTCAGCAGATAATCAGGTCCCACCTCCAGTCACTGCAGCTCTTCAAGGCATAAAAACTATTGTTACTCTTCCAACAGTCAAGACTGATGAAACTCAGAAACAATGGACAGGTCTTATCCGCAGCACTCTGGCATCTGTCTTGGAAGACTCTCAGCCTGGTAAGTGGTTTCCCAGTGCAGGAGTTAAAATTCAAGAAAAATGGATTTTCTATAATGAAAATGCAAGTATGGTATCTGCCTATAACTTAATGTAAAACCTGAATGAGCAAACCTCATCAGTTGCTTAACAAATTTTATTGAAGAAATGCACAACATTGACTTTAACAAAGTAGTTACATCTCAGGAGTTCTCACTTCAGATTTGTCTTTGGTCTGTCTTCTTTGACAGTGTTGAGCATAACCTCCAATTAGAAGTTTTCCCTCTTGCAATGCATCTGGCATCAGCCTCTCAGTTTTTTTGCTGGCACAAGTCATTTAATCTTAATGACAGTCAGTGTTAAAGTGAATGAGTGGGAAGACAGCCATAGATAATTGTGGAAAGGTTCATACTGGAGTAGGATGTTCACAACACTGTTAAAAGCTTTCTTTGGTGATAAAGAAATCCTGGCCAAAAAATGCCTGTTACTCACCAGCACAATGGTTACTGTCTCTTCAGAGAACTGCAGACCACCTCTTATGGTTCACATACATGCTTTGCCTTGCCCTTCAAAAAGAAAAAAAGATGTACAGTCTTAGCTGCATAGTTAGCAAAAGAGACACAAAGATTTGCCATTTGCATAGTGGTAGTCAGTGAGAAAAACATCCCATTGCATTGCCAAAGAGCCATTTGTAGAGAGTGAAGAGAGGCTTGAATGGAGTTACTCATGTGAGAGATGGGGAATGAGGAGGTAATTGCAAATGATTCTGAATTGTCCAAAAGGGGGAGGATCACCAGTTTGTGTTAACCAAGCCAAACTTCTGATTTGATTTGTCACATCAGCTCTTGTTTTCCAGCCTTTAGTTACTGTAGAGATTTCACAGGCCCTCTTTCCAGAAACATCACTGGCTGGAGACCTTTTCGCAGGCATCAGAATTTTTTCTAGGTTCCTTGCAGGAGTGTATGTTTTCCTTTCTAATCTTCTGTGAAGTGCGATTGATCACAGATGCAAAAATCTAAGCAAGGTCCACTGCATTCAATTTCAAGCCTTATCATTCAATAAAATTCAAACAATGTAAATTTAAAATAATTTAAATAATGTAAGAAAAAACATCACTTAATATACTTGGAGTAGTTTTTTGAAGTGAGGTTTTACATTATGGCTAAGCCAGTTAAGTGACTAGCTGATATCTGTAAAGAGCAGTCATGCTGTTTTTGTTTTTTGCTGACTTTATATATGCTGTTTCTTTGTGCCTCTCAGGGGAGAGCAGAACCAATGTGGCCAACCAGACCAGCAGAGCAGTGCTTTTAATATATATTATAATAGTTTGTATATACATATTTTTGTTCCTGTTGTGAATTCATGAATCAGATCTGTGAAGACAACTTAGGCAAGGAAAAAGAATTGTGACAATGGCAAATACAGGCTATTTGAAAGGCAGGAAAAATTAAAGTAGTACTGTTCCTGTTGGTGACAATTGGCTGTCAGATCAACTAGTCTGTTCTGTGAAACCTCATGTTAAGTAAAAGTTGTTGCCATGCTGGATATCTATTTCTTGCTCTGCTGTATCAGCTGAAGATAATTATTTTAAAAAGTGAAGTAGACCTTTAATGGGCAAAAGATCTAAAAATATCTTTTTTCCTCTTGTTTACACACTGAAAACAAAAAGCATGACTTGGTCTGAGAAAGTGGGTGGTGATGTTTTCCTTGATACTTAAGTTTCAGAAAGATTGACTTACTTTATTAAAACAACTGTTAGAATAGAGTTGCTCAGATTTTTGTCAGTCACAGTCAACAATGATACTGTAATAAGTAAATGCATATGCAGTTGCAAATAATTTCAAGTAAATATATTTCCTCTTTGTGAGTTTTATCGGTGTTCACTGGATTTTATTAAATAAATGCTAAAGTGTTTTTGGAATAAGCTAACAGCATGTTTGCTTTTGTTTTTCAGAAGCCTCTAAACCTATTCTTGATGAAGTAAGCATACTTACAGCTATTGCTCTCTTCCTCTTGTCAGCAAGCAATGAAATAATTGGAGTGCAATCTTTACAAAATGGATGTATGAACAGATTTAGAAGTGCATTGAATTCTTCTGATCCTTGGGTAAGATCATGTTATGGGAATGTAAATGACATGCAGCCAGCAGAAACTAATTGTGATATATTTAACACATTTCCTCAATGTTTTGTGATGCCTTTACTTCAGGGGTAGGTACTGCTGTCAGGATAACTAGAATTTTCAACAATGCATTATTCAAACTCATGAGCAAAATAACCCAGACTTAGTGCTTCTCAATAAAGTGTTCATGGCCTTGTGCCAAGTTCTTGACTTCAGCTTTTTAAAAGGCAAAACCAGTCTCTGGTATATGAAGTTTTATCAGATGAAAAGGTTGGTTACCATAGAGGGGTGACATTTAACATTAGTGTTGATCTTTTATAATACAAACTAAGCCATTTTTTCCTTAGATAAAATTACAGCCCACATTTCTGATCAATTTTATATTTGTTTGTGCAAAACTTGTGCTTGTTTTGCATGTTCATACAAAACTCAGTTTGGGAGCAAAAATATAATTTTGTGGGCACCATCAGAATATCTATATATCAGGATTCATTTGTTTCATGATTTCACTTCTGCCCTTTGGCTTGCCTTTGTGAAATGCCTTCTGAATTACTTTGTCATTGAGGAGAAAAGTTACAAAAGTTATAGACTGACTTGATTCAAGCAGGCTAATGCACTGTATGGATAGTTAAGCTTAACTTTTCCAGCCATATATTTATCAGTTTGAGTGGATATACAAATCTGCAGGTGGGAGCTAAGGAGAAAAATCTGTGATGTTTCTACAAGCAAACACTGCAGGGATTCCTGAGAAGAAAAACAAGCAAAAAATGCGGATGTGTTTAGGGTCACAATGAGGCATTTAAAATCCTGTTTGGACTGATAATTCTCCATAGCAGGGCAGAAGACTCTTCCAAAGAAGCTACTGATGCTTAAAAGAAATACAGGAGTATTTTTGAAACTATTACCACATGAATAGGTCAAATATCATGTATAGTAATAACCAGAAGTCTGGTGAGCTCAATTCCCTTTTGTTCCAACAAGATAACTCAGTTGAGAGATCCAAGTGTTTCAACGCTGTTGGGCAAGTTTTACATGAGAGTGTGACTCTTTTGCTTTGAAGAAGCTCTGATTTTACCTTTCAGGAGTTTTTGTAGACTTCTGTGAATGCACAATAGTCCAAAGTTTTATATTACGCAGTTCAAAGGAAAATAACTTGGATGGAATTCTGCTGTCAGATGCAGTCATAAAACTCTTTTGAAATATGGCTGCATTTAAGAAAATACTTTTACTCCTTATTTCAAAGGTTAGTCTAATCATCTTTAACAGCTAATAAGGAATGAAGTTTAAAGAAAGACAGAAAAGGAAGAGAATTATTTGTAACAGTATGGAGAGATAGAGGTAAAATTTGTTGAAAAGGTCAGAAATGCTGTGAGCAAGGCATTGAGGAAAAACGTTCTTCCGTGGAGCTCTGTTGCAAAGCGTACAAATGACATGAGAAGTGTTATTATTTCAGACCTTAAATATTGAACTGTATAGAAAACCTGCAGCTATTGAATTAACAGTAATACGATTTCATAACTAATATTTTCTTACCAGTAGTTTTTATAATCTATGACTTTTATTCAATATTTTTATTTATATATCTGTGTTTCCACTAATCCCTGGATCTCCTCACAGATCATTTTGTTCAGTAATACTTCCTCTAGAACATTTCTGTTCAGCATGTGCTCGATAACTCATCCTGTTTGGACTTGAGTGCAGTTCGAAAACACGTGCAATGTTTCATCCTCACATTTGTTGTGAGGCTTCACCTTTTCAAAAATGCTGGGTTATTTGTGGTGGATTTTGGAGGAAGATCTTTGTATTCCCCAAAAAATGTATTCATAAATTCATCTGAACAAGATTATCAGTGGGTCATTTTCCCAAACTTTGGCTTTAATAATCTCTGCTTTCCACAGAGAGGGAGGAGGATTAAAAAAAATCGAAGGATGACAAGGAGAGCATTTTGTGATCAGTTTATATAGTCCTAGGCTACTGCCAGCACAAAAGGGAGAATGCGAAGCAAGGATGGAAAGGCCTGACAGTTTTGGCTACAGCCTTGGCTTGTATTAGAACAATAAGATCACTTTGTCCTGAGTCATTTTTATGGGCACTGTTGCCTTTCTGGAATTGGAATAGCGTATCACGATTTTGAAGATTAAGCTACTATTAGAGCTGGTAGTTCTGAGACCCAAACATGGAGTTCACTGTGAACTGGTGTGACTGACTTGTGTGATATTAACTGTCTTTATTTTCTCAGGGTTTATATTGTTACTGCTACTTAGTACCTGCATGTTCTTACTAATTGTCCTTCCTTTTATTGAACCCTGGGCTAATACTCCTTTATTAGCTGGGCTGTGTTGCTTCTTTCCTCTTACTTAGTACATTTCCTTCCCATTTAGTAGTCTTTTTATTTATTTAATCAGAGATAACAGAGTTTATTATATTCACTGAGTTAACAAATAACTTTGAGGACAATGTGTTTATCTTGATTTGATTAGGTTCAAGCCAAGTGTTACCAGCTTCTGCTTTCTGTGTTCCAACACACCAATCGTGCCCTGTCCACTCCATATATTCATTCACTGGCCCCTATCATGGTTGAGAAGTTGAAGGCTGTGGAAAGGAGCCGCCCGAACAACAATCTGGAGCTTTTAGCAGTCCAGGAAGGAATTAAAGTCCTTGAAACATTGGTTGCCCTTGGTGAGGAGCAGAATAGTAAGTATTTAGGTTTTCTAGAGAAATGAGTAATGCTAAAATAGAATATTGAACATTGGAAATGTTGCAGTTAGGAACTCAATGGCATAATCACAAATGGACTGTGTGTGCAACATGCTTTTGTAATTCCAGTGATAGAACTTTTGTATACATGAACTTGCATAGCATGTAAAGCATGATATGCTGTGTGACCTTTGCATTTCTGGTGATTGCAGGAAAAAAATTTAAACATAAACTACAGTAATAAGTGATATTTTACTCTGTTTTGAAATTTGTATTTCATGCTTTTTCAATTTGCTTTTACTTTTTTACTTTACTTTACTTTACTTTACTTTCAATTTACTTTCTGAAGACTTGCTGTCTTTGACATTTGACTTCAAATGCTGAAAAAGTTCCTCCTAAGAATACTACTATTGGTTTTGTGTAGGGTTTTTTGGATGGTTTTTGTTTGGTTGGTTTTTGTGGGTTTTTTCACTCAATGGTCTCCTTGTTGGAGTTTCTCTTTTTTGATAGAATATAAAATTTCTTGAGCCTCATTGTGCTTCTGGAACAGTTGTTTGAAACCCAGGTGAAATGAAAATGAGAGAGTAACTGAAACAAATGAGGAGACAGATCATCTGATTTGCTGGCTGAGGACATTTCACCCCATGAGTGTGATTAGTCAGAACCTATAAGGAAAAATAATTAATACTCTGGTAATCTAAAACAATTTTGATAAATGAGTTACCATTAATTTTTAAGTTCTTTGAGCTTAAAATGTATAATTACCAGGTTACACATTTCAAACTTGTACTTGAATTCTTTCTAGGTACAAAAATTTGCCTTGTTGCTTAAGTTTAGCTGCCTTTTTTGTTCTCAAGGTCAACCCTCTTGATCCCTTTGCCATTTTGCCCTGCTGGTTTTTGAATTAGGATCTCCCAGACCAACACAACATAAATAACAGCAGATAATTGTCCCTGACTTTTTGTGAACACTTGCTTTCTGGTATCAGTTCACTTATGTTTGCTGGGGAGGTGGATACTCAAATTCAAGTGAGTGACATTTCTGTCTGCCTGAAAAGTGTTTTGAAATCCTTTAATATGATAGGCACTCTACATCTTAAAATCTTTCATCAATGATCTGCAATTGGATGGTACAAAAGCATCTCAAAATAAGCATCTGGATCAACATAACTGTAATGAACAATAATAGAAATCTTAAATCCAGTCCTGGTAAGACAGATTGGACTGATCAAAACACAGGATGCCATCTACATTTCAGTTGTTTTAATTTGATAATCTTTTTATTACAGTTTCTACTGGTGAGTTCTGAAAACAATATTACCCTTCCTTACCTGTGTAGTAGCTGATAATTTTTTTTGTTTCATTCTCTGATATGGTAATTCCACTTTTTTTTTCTTTCATTTTAGGAGTACAGTTGCTGGCCCTTCTCGTTCCCACTCTGATCTCCTATTTACTGAATGAAAATGCCTTTGCTTCTGCATCTACAGCATCCAAGGGTCTTCACGAGTTTGCACTTCAGAACCTGATGCACATTGGTCCACTTTACCCCCATGCTTTCAAGACAGTAATGGGAGCTGCTCCTGAATTGAAAACACGTCTGGAAACTGCAGTCCGAGCAAGTCAGGCCAGCAAAGCAAAAGCAGCTGCTAGGCAACCACCACCCACAGTACATTCCACCCCGACAATTAAACTGAAAACTAGCTTTTTTTGAATTACTTTTATTATTTTTGGACCATTAAGTAGTCAGAAGCGTTACATTATCCCTGCATACATGTCTAATTTTGTGTAATTTGTGTGTGAAAGGCTGTCTAATGGAGCTTTGTGTAATTACTTGAAATCCATGCATTACAAGGGAAGTGGTGTTACTTGTATTTGTATAGATTTTTAGGAAATTGTGATCATATTTATGAATTTCTGTTATAAATTATCCACCAAAAATTATTCTGTATCTAAATAGTTTTATTTATTTTTAAAAGCTATCTCAAACCCTCCAGTGGTTTTTGAAATCTGGTGATTGTTATCCCACCATTGTGCCAACACACTAACACAGTGGGGATGGAGAGAAGAGGAAAAACTGTTATGAAGTACGTACCCTGTACCATGGGGAATTTCTGGTGTAGAAGTACGAATTTTTTCCTTTTATTTTAAAAAAATAATAGGGAAAGGGACTTCGTAGATTGTTTCAGCTTGCATGAAAAAAACCCCAAAACCCCACAACAAAATAATTGAAAATTTTCAGCCTTTCTTAAGGTGAATGATCAAGCATGCTGTCTTAATGAGTTGTCCTTATTTATGTGGTGTATATCTCTTTCAAATCCGTTTCCATGCTTGAAAATGAATAAAGGATGCAAAGAATCTAATCCCCTATCTCTTCGAATATAAATTTTAAAGAATGCACTGGAAACTAAGTTTTTAAAGAGAGCTGCCTTCTATCTGCATTTTTGTAGGTGTAGATCTTGGCCCTTGTAAGGTGTTTTCTGTTTGCAGTCTTCCTGTTCTGCCAGCAACTGGTTGAATATGTGATGAGTCAGTGCTGTGCCCTTTGTCCAGACTCATGGGTATTTAACCTTCCTGCTAGATTTTATTTTCTGGATACATCATACCTGTAGTCCTTGATCAAGTTTGCAAGCAGAGGTACTGGAGCACTTTGCACTGTACTGACTCAGGAGGCAGAACACAGGTGGGAGCCAGGCTCCTCCAGCTTTTCCTTCTCCTGCCAGGCTTTTTTCAAAAGCACGTGGCTTCTCTCCCATCTGAGTGAGTCTGATGTGCAGATTTTGGGGCTTTTAGTTCATGTGCTGTGCTAACCTTGCATGCACAGCCAGGGACTCCCAGTGTCTGCCTGTGCCAGGCCTCACCCTTCCTCTTGGCAGAAGTGTGGAACCATGTATTTACTTGTGTATATAAGACTGACTTACATGACTTTTTTGACACAGCTGTTGAATTTATGGGCTTTTATAGGGATCTTTCTATACATTTTGCTTTATAGAAAGAAGTAACATTACCAGAGGTCTCTACTAGGCCTGCTGAATTTCATCTCTGATGTTTCTCTGTATACTCTGTAAAAACTGCATTTCAGATGCTTCAACTTCAAATATAACAAAGGGATAGTAAATATAATTGAATATGACTAATATCTGCTTAAAATATTTGTAGATCACTATTTTTGCATAGATACTTCCCTCTAGGCTTTCTATTTTCCTCTAAGACCTTATCTAATATCCCTTTGAGTACCTATGCAAAATGGTCAAGATAATGCTCTTTCGCCCTGTGGTAAGTTGGCTGTGTGCAAAATATTTAACAGAAAATCAGAAATGCTTTTATTTCACAGTGAATGTTGTAGTACTAAAGTGAGGACACAGCAAGTGGTGCGTACTCTAATCTCAATTTTTTTTGGTAAAGATAGTAATCAAGTCTTGTTCCATTGTTCTGCAGGAGTAAAGATACATACAGAAGTAAAAACAATGTGCTGTACATGAGAAGGAAAGTAACTTCACTAATTTTTTCTTCTTATATAGGTAGTGGGAATTAAATTGATTTAACTACATCCCTTTCTACTAAGTCTTTCCAGCACTACAAATCTATTTTGCTTAGAGGTTCTGAACCAGTTCAGCATTTGAAAGTATTAAGGACTCTTTCAGTTCAAAATTAACACAAACATTTTGCAAGTAAAACAGAAAACAAGTTTATAACCTGTTTTAGATTCCTTCCCCTCCACCAGGTAGTCTAGGCATTAATGACTTCTTGGAAAGATTTTGTCTATAATCATGTTTTGTTTGCCTTAAGTTTTATCTCAGCATTTTTAAGTTTTGGTTAGACTCTAGTTGACAAAATGTCTGAAGATTCGGAAGGGGGGAGGGAAGTGTAGCAATCAAGCATAACTAAGAAGTCAGTAGAACAATAGAAAAAAGTTAGCAGAAGAGAAAATGGCACTAGATAGATGTAGAGGGAGAAGGGAGAGGTTTTTCTTTGTATTTTGTGTGGCTGTCTGCAACATGCACAACTCTTGTTTGTATACATCCTTCCCCAGTTTAGTCCTCGTTCGCTTCTCTGCTTGCTCCTGATACTAAAGTTATTATCATGTGGTTTTACACAATATTTTGGCATCAAATTCCATTTTATTAAAAAAAACTGAAGTAACTTGAAACGGCCGTAGTGCTTATTGTTGTTTGTCACTGTCCTTTTCATCTTTTTTTTTGTCAATAGCCTTTTAAATGTGCTTTTTAATGAAACAGTTTGCTCCGCTTCCCCTTCACATCTTTCATCTCTCTCTCTGCTGTTTCCTTCCCTTCTGGGTGAGCCTTGTTCTACACGGATTCCTTGCCGAGGTCCCCCACATCACGCTCCCTGTCCCGTGCTGTCGCTCCCGTTCCCCGCTGCTCTCCTGATGCTCTAAGTCAGCTTCCTTCGTGCTCTTTCCCAGAGAGATGGTCCGGCAGCCGCAGCTCGCGCTCCGCGGGCAGGGTTACGAGGCAGGCGGCTGCGGTTTCGGAGCAGCCACACCGCAACAGGAACCGCGGCTGGAGAGGGCAGCGGGGCCGCTCTCGGTGCGCCCGGGCCGCGGCGAGGAGCGCAAGCGGGCCCACCGGGGCCATCGCCCCTCGGGCGCCCCGTGGCACCGCCGTGGTGGCACACGGCACCTCGTACACGGTGCTGGCCCTCGGCACGGCCCGACGGAGTGGCGCCTTGCCTGCCCTCAGCAGGGCTCTGCTGCTGGGGCGCACACGGCGTGGGAAGGGAGCCCCGCTTCGGCCCCTGGTGCCGTGGGGAGGGCAGTGCTGCCCACATCTTCCGCCCCCAATCCCACAGGCTCCTGTTTTCCCTTTCCTCGCGGAGCACGCAGCGTGGCAATTCCTGAAAAATGTAGTGTCGCTCTCCTTCCCAGCATTGCTAAGGATGCTCAAGAAACCCCCGTAGCCTTGGGCAGGGTTTCCAGCTTTTGGCAGTGAAAGGCCGAGCGCTGCTCAGAACAGGGAGGAAGCAGGAAAGCCGGAGCTGCCAGGGCAGGGCCCGATGGGAGCACGTGGGACTGATGCGGGACCCCTGCCCTTCCCGAGTTCCTGGGGTGGGCTGCGGAAGAGCCCAAGCCGTGTCAATCCCGCTCGGAGCTGGAGGTGACCATTAACCTGTGCTCCCGCTGCAGGGACTGCCCCTGCCTGGCCCCTCCCGCCGGCGCCCCCGCCCAGCCGACCGGACCACACGTCCCAGAGGTGAGGCCCAGCCGCCCGAACGCCATCCCTGGGATTACGGACGGCGCGGGAAGAGCGCGGCGATTAAAGAATCCTCTCCACCATCCAGCGGAACTACAATTCCCAGGATGCCGCGCGGGGCGGCGGGGCGAATCGCTCCCCGGCGCTGTCCCCGGCAGGCCACCGTAGCGGCGGGCGGGGGCGGCTGTCAGGCGGTGACGGCGGGCGGGACGCGCCCAGGTTGTTGCTGCTGCTGCTGCTGCCGGGACGCGGCGGGAGCGGCGGCGGCGAGCCAGGCGGACCCGGCCCGGCCATGGACGAGCAAGCGGGGCCCGGCGTCTTCTTCAGCAACAATAACAATAACAACGCCCTCCTGCTGCCGCCGCCGGCGGGCGGGCCGGGGCTGGAGCCGGGCGAGGCGGCGGCAGCGGCGGCCGCGGCGGCGGCAGCAGGAGGCGGCGGAGGAGGGGGAGTCTCAGCCTCCGGAGCCGCCGCGCCGCTCTCGGCGTCCCGGGCTCAATACAGCGTGCCGGGCATCCTGCATTTCCTGCAGCACGAGTGGGGCCGCTTCGAGGCGGAGCGCGCCGAGTGGGAGGCGGAGCGGGCGGAGCTGCAGGTAACACCCGCGACCTTCTGCCTCCCCACAGCCCCGGCTCCGGCGGCCGCTCCCCCTCCGTGTCCCCCGGCTCTGCGCGGCTGGAGGGGAGCGGCCGCCCTGGGCGCTGTCTTGACCTCTTCCCCGGGAGGGAGCGGCCGGCCGGGCTATTCCGGTGCCCCCAGGGCGGCCGCCCCCCGCCGCGGCCGGGCCGGGGGTGGGACATGGCGGCGGGCCCGGCGGGGAGCGGGCCCTGCCCGCGGGGAGCGCCCCTGCGCCGCTCTCGCCTCCTCCCGGGATTTTCCGGATGCCCCTCGGGGTCGGCCGCCCCAACTTGTCACCAGTTTCATAACCCCTGTCACAGTCTGCCCCCGGCGAGCTGCGCGCCCCCCTTGTGCCGCGGCTGCCCCGGCCCGGTGCCGCCCGCCCGCACAGGGCCCGGCCCGCGGGACCGGCTGGGTTCCCGTCGGTACCACGGACACGTTATGTAGTGTTTTCGTTTGAAAAGCAGTGGGGCTGATACGCTCATTAATGCATGAAAGAACTGATAGTGATCTTGTGGTTAAAAGAACTTGTGAGCTCCTGGCCTAGAGCCATTGCTGTCAGATACTTCAGTGATGGGCACGTTGCGTTAACTCCAATAACAGTCGATAATGCAACCTTCGTTCCTCTTTGGTGTTGTTTACAAGAAAATTCCTGTGTTAAACCTTAACGCTGGCCATGTTGCTAGCAGCCCACTGTTTGGTTTTCATTTGGCCATGTTTGAGACTGAAAAGTGTCTTATGGGTTTCTTTTTTAAGTCTCCTTTCTTTGTCTCTTTCTTCCTGTCCATCTCTTCTATGGCTTTCCTTGAAAGTCGTTGTCAAGAGAGTCTTGAGTCTGTGTAGTAATGCAAACCACTTCTCTGTTTTTTTGGTTATTGGGTTGGTTTTTTCATCTTTTGAATTTTACTTTCTACATACAACAACCATTCTGAGAAGAGTGGTAGGTGTGACATTCTTTAATGAGTTTGCTTGTAGGAATTTAAAGGAAGTGGTCATGAGAACAAGAGAGCAATTTTTATTTTAACTTCCCTGATTCAGTGAGAAATTGGTTAGTAACTGAATGATATTTCTATTCACTACATCTAGTAAATACTGTGTAGAAAGTTACTAGCTAGCTATGTATAGGAATAACCTCATGTGTCATATATCCAGTGGAGGCCCATAAATATCTTGACATATATTCATAGCTGATTCAGATATCAAATATTGCTTTGGAGAAAAAAAAATCTGTTTTACAGGACCTAGGAAATTTTGCCAGTGTATTAAAAGTAATAACACTTTGCATATTTATCACATCCTTCAGCAGCATGGCTTCCCTCCTCCTCCCCCAGGTATCCCTCAAAAGCTTGGTGTTATGGACGAGAGAGGAGGAAAGAAATTGAGCATTTAGACTATTTGCAGAAGTCATGTATTATCAGTGGCAGATAACCCCATCACAAGTTGTTTGCTTGAATGCCTTTGACTCTTGCCAAAACATCTCAATAAAGTTATAATTAGCTGTGGCTGGCATTGCCATGAGCTGTAACAGCATTTATCTGCTGCAGAGTCATGTTCAGGAAGGTGCAAAATTCTTGGCTATCTCTGCAGGCATCAGGCGTTAACGTCTGCTGTGACCATTTGCAGATGAATGTTCTTGGATCCCTCTGAGAGGTTTGTGGTGGGGGTTTGTGGCAGCTACAAGGTGGCTTTTAGAAACAGTGCACCTGAAGCATGAGCAGTGTTAATTAAAGGCCTGGTCTGTGCTCCTTCTGAAGCCTTTTGTTGGCCTGTATATTTGGAAATGTTTAACAGAATAATGGAAATGTGAGGTCGGACAGTTTCTCTCCCGAGATAAAGATGCAGTGCTCCTCATTGTACTTTTATCCAATGCAAATTCCAGTGCTAGATTATCCATCCACTCTTGCGAGGCTGTGGGGCAAAGGACCTATTTAGTGTGATGGTCTTAGTATGCCATGTTTTTTTCCTGCAATTCATCTAGTTTCTAAAAGGCAGACTTACCTCTGTTTCCTTACCTACCACGATACTGAAGTACTTGGGATACCTTATGCCACAGTATTGCTGTGCTTGGCTTCTGCTCTGCAGTTGTTGGTTAGTTCCACTCTACCCTCTCTCCAAAAAACACCTTGTAAGTCAGTCCCATTGTGATTTCCTGACTTCCTTTTCTTCCTTTCTGGGCCTCTTTCTAGTTTCTCTTTTTCTTATCCTTCTAATTAACTGTGTGGAACTAAGTGTGATGGACAGGTAGAATACCTTCCTGTTGTGTTCTGTGGTGCTTGTTCAAGGGACACACACCCAAGCTCATAACATATATGAGTTAGCAAGCTGGGCAGTTTAATCTCTTCTTAGTTCCTGATCTAGTACTGCCTTTCCAAGGTTTTTCTCCCTATCAGTGCCTGTATTTTGCTTTCCCTGGCAAATAGTCATGTTTATTCTGATTTTCTAATTATTTTTCTTGAACCTTTTGAAATTATTGTTGCCTTTGTTATATAATCTTCTTCATTCAAGGCAAAAGAGGACTTCAGTATTTATATCTATGTAAGCATCATTAGTAAGCTGTGTATATCAAATAAGAATGAAAACAGATTAATATGGGGTTCCCCTAGATGCTTATCTGCTGATTACATATTTTACTTTTAATGCTTGCTTTCTGTTTACACTACTTTGACATCTGCAGATTGGAAAATTATCCTAAGAATAGACTTTCGTGATGCCCTGTGAAGTAATTAACTAAGATGAATACTAACATTATAAATCCTCATTTGAGTATTCACAAACAGTGCTTTATGGCATTATAATCTATTTTCATATCTTTTCAGAAATTAGTGATTTTCCTTTTCTTAGGTTCTTCTAGCAGCTGCTTGGGAGAGTTGACAAGACAGGATTTCCTGTTCTACAAGTTTTAAACTTCAGGTTTTTTTCCTTCTGCATTTTTCTGGACTGACACAGAGACATTTCAGAGTTGTCGTTGTGTGTTGGACAAGCCCATCTGAAAATAGGAAAGGGTTTGATCAAATGCATGTGCAGGGCACTGAAGTCCATATCTTTGCTTGAGGCAAGCAGGGGTTGAGCTGCCTCCCATAGTGGTGTCTTGCCCGAACCATGGGTCTTCTGACTGCTTGGGAGTGACTGTCTCCTTTGGATGTTATTCCCTTTTAATCAGCAATCTGTCGCCCCTGGGGGAGCAGTGTGGGCTCTGCCCTGGGGACTGGGACCCTGCAGAGCTGAGAGCTGCCAATGCACATCCTTGTCCCAGCAAGCAACAAGGCTGGATGAGCTTGGAAGGTGTGTGTGTGAGTGTGGCTTTTGTTTGGCTACAGAT